CATTTATTTATTTTAACAGACAGAATAATGCAAACATTTTAATTTTTTCTGATATTCATTTTAGGTATTGAATATTTGCAGCTTATTCATCGCAAGTCGACAATTGGGTTTTCAACCAAATAATAAACCTCTGATATCAAGGCGACACTAATTCAAATGATACGTATTGCACAGGAACTTCTATATCATCAACATTGAAAGTCCAAGTGCCGAATTTTATGGTGGAGAGAATATAAACAGCTAGAAATAAAATGGCTGAAGCCGAAGGAGGCTCGGAGCAGGACGACGTTTCATTTTTGCGAACGGTGAGTAATAACTATCAGGGATGCCGTTTGGATCTAAATAGATCCAATTGGATACATTTTTAGACGAATTTTTGCGGGATACTTATTTTTTCCTGTCAGTATAAATGTGGATACTTTTTTAAATAGGCCAAAATTTTATATTTTCTATAAAGTTTTTTTCGTTCAAAAATCGATTTTCATTAAAGATGGTAGAAAGCATTACGTTTTCTGAACGTATGAAGAATCGCTACTTAAGCGTGAAATTAACGCATTTTATTTTTTGTGAACGAAGCAATGAACATATGAAGAGATCTCACCAAAATAGGTATAAGCGCAATTGCTTTAATTAGCTTAAAGTATGCTTTAAGCAAGATCTTAATATACATATCGTCGCTTAAAGTACAAAACCGCGTACCAACAAAAAGCAAAACCGCGTATGTGACGTTGCATAAATTATTTTCTAGAGTAAAAACACTTATATTTCAAAATGGTTCTCTTTTTTATAAAGCAATCGCATTTCTGGCTAGTATATTTCAGGACGAATGGATAAGGATTGAGCCAAGAGCTTGTGTGAGCAAATCCAATTTTTGGCAGCAAATGTCAGTTACGCGGTTTTGCAGAATGACGATACGCGGCTTTGTACTTTAAACGACGATATACATATGTATATAAAGTAAATTATACTCTTTCTGTAGTAATCTCTTTCATATCACATATTTTCATTTGTTAATTTAAAAAGAAAGAAGATTTCAATGTAGTTTAAAAAACTAACTTTGATTTATTTAAGGAGACTTTTATGAATTTTACTGAAAAGACTTTGAATACACTCTAAAAAATTTTTGTTTATTTGCGCATATTAAGAGAGGTAACCAGTTTCCTCTTTTAATGTGGGCAACTTCGCACGCCGTGTAATAAAATTAATCATTGCCTGTTTACTCTTACATACCAAATTTGTCGCAAGAGCAAAATTACTCATAACATGTTTAAAATAAAGTAAATTATTAGTAGGAAATGAGTAGTCCACTTGCAAACAGCGTTATGTGATTTTATAATAGAAAGCCATAAATTTGAAAAAGCGACTACGACAACAAGTAACATTTAAATTGAATCTTTTTTATTATTACCTGAAAATTTGGATAAATAGGAGCCTTATAAAATTGTAACATAACATAACATGTCATAAGATAACATTTACAGTATATACGACCTAAAGCAGCTTTCTAAGTTCATCAGAAGATTGATACTTTTGAAAGTTCATAAATAAGTATGAT